TGATTAGCCTCGCAGGAAGGCGAGCAAACAGAACAAACCTGGCTGAGCCGTGTGAGTCAGCACAGCTCACTGCGGTCACCTGCCCGACGAGACGTGCGGAGAGCAGTGGGCAGTCCACTCCGGGGACCACAGACGTCCTGACAGGACACGGCTGGGCGGAGGGATGCGGTTCACGGGCTCCGGAGTGACCTCAGCTCACAAAGGACACTCACGACTGTGTGTCCCTCTGACCGTGGGGAGAGAGGGGTGTCCCCTGTCAGGTCAGCCCGAGGCCGGGGTCAGGGGCAGCGAGGGCGGTGCCAGCCCTGTGACCACTTGCAGGTCCGGGCTGAGGTCACGGGAGCGAGTCTGGGAGGAAGTGATGCCACCTCCAGGGATGGCTCTGGGACTTGGAGAGCCGGCGGTTTTGATGTGATCAGCAGCACAGCCTCCTGGTTGTGGCTCGGCCCCAGGAAGAGGCAGAGCGCCGCTCCGCTGGTCAGTGCCGCAGGCAGCGGGTGGCATCTCTGCAGCTCCCTGGCCGGGAACGAGGGACGGGGTCCCCGGGCCCCAGCAGTCCTCACGCCCCTGCTCAAGCGCCCATCCTCTGCTTACAGGAGGGTCTGGGCACTTGTGTTGATAGACGCGGCCCTAACACGGGCTCCCCGTCCGAGAGCGGGGCTTTCACTCTTCAATGTGCTTGCGAATCCCCTGGGCTCGGTGGGTCTCAGCTGGGGCCTGGCTCCTGCATCTCGAATAAACTCCCCGTGCTGCCGGCGCCGTTGCGGGACGTGCATCCGAGGACCTTGTCATGCAGCTCAGTCCTAACAGTGCGTTTCAGAGCGCTGGCCAAGGCTCACCGAGGAGGTGAAAGGGGTGCTGTGGGGAGAGAGAGCTGATTGGGTGGGGCTGGGGGGCTGGGAGGGGGTGGTTGGCCCTCCCGCATTTGCTCAGCTCCCTCATTTCCATGTTTATGGAGCACCTACTATGTGGCAGGCATTGCTCTCGGTGCTGGAGAGACAGAGATGGCTGAGACTGACAAAGTCTGTGCCTCACGGAGCTGATGTCCTAGTCGGGGTGCAGCGACTCCACGAGGAAAAACTAAGCCGTGTAAGGGCAGTGAGGGCCATACAGCTGCAGCGGGGGGCGGGGGGGGAGCCCCCATGTCCAGCCCTGTGTGCAGGTGGGGAGGGAGTGTTGACTCTTCAGGGAGACACCTGAGCCCTCCCACCATGTGCTGGACAGGCAGCTCCTACGGGGCCCAGCCAGCAGGGTCTCTGTTCAGATCTGTCCAGGAACCGGGAACCGGCCACACTGGGAATTCCCAGTGAGCAAGGCTTGGGGCAGGGAGGGTAAGGGGATACCTGCTGGAGTCTCGAGAGACAAAGATGGTCGGAGGGAAGGAACGGAGAACGGAAAACAGTGGATCACTGCGAGAGAGGGAGGGAGAAGCCGTGGCTGGTCTGCAGGTGGGGCCCCAGGGGTGGGGGGTAGACTGGGAGGGAGACCCGTTAGGCCCATCCAGCCACTAGGTCAGGGGGCTGCTGGGGAAGTCGGCAGCTGAGATACTGCACCAGCACCTGCCAAGCATTTCACACGTGTGACCTCGTCTCACACTGAGAGCTGCGTTGTCTGGAAGGCCTGCGCCACATGCCCGATGCTGGGCTGTAAGTGGCTTCTCTCGGCGTCCTCCCGACAGTCCCGCGTGGCTCTGCCATTTGTTTGTGCTTTGGTTGCCGAAGGCCGGTCCAGATGAGGAAACTGAGACAGTCATTTAGGTCCCATCGTTGACAGCTGGCCTGGCACCACATAGGTACTTGTTGTTTTCACTTTTCCTTTTTTTAGGTGTAGTTTACATGCAGTCACGTGTGCTAATCGCAGTGTGCATGCGTATTTATGTGCGTAAACACCACGTAGCCACCATGTGCATTCAGCTCTGGACCATTTCCGGGGCCCCCGAAGGTTCCCTGTGCCTCCTCCCAGGCACTACCCCCCAGAGGGCGAGCGGCCTGGTTTCCCTCCCTGGAGGAGCTCTGTCTATTCTTGCTCAGTTTTGCGCCTGGCTCCCTTCCCAGCGTAGCATCTGTACGCTTCACCCACGTGTCGTGAGTAGCTCTCGGTTGTACTTTCTGGCTCATTACGGAGCAGCGTTTGTTGCAGGACAATATCCCAGTCCGATCGTCCCTCCTCTGGCTGGTGGGATGTGGGATGTTTCCAGTTCCTGTCCATTGTGCACGGAGCCCCGGTGGACATTTGCGTGCGTGTCTTTCAGTGGATGCGGTCACTGTGTCTCTTGGGTCTTTACTTAGGAGTGGACATGCTGGGCTCCTAACCTCTGCACCACCCGGCTGCCCGGAGAGGCAGTGCCTTATCCCACTCCACAGAGGGGGAGACTGAGGCTGAGAGAGGGTGAGCGCTGACTTGGCTAGTAAGGGGCTGAGCTGGAACCCAAACCCTGAGTTTGAGGATTTGGCCCCAAGGTCGGTGGCTGACCCACTGCTTGGAACCTGGTCCTTTCCCAGGCGCCGGTCCTATTCGAAAGCCTTTGACCTTAGTGATCTTTGAAAACATGGGGAACAAGAAGGCCCCTCTTCTTAAAAAAAAATTTTTTTTTTTTTATTGATTTCAGAGAGGAAGGGAGAGGGAGAGAGAAATGAAACTTCAATGATGAGAGAGAATCATTGCACGCCCCACACTGGTTCAATGATGAGAGGGAATCATAAATCGGCTGCTTCCTGCACGTCCCACACTGGGGATTGAGCCCGCAACCCGGGCCTGTGCCCTGACCGGGAATCAAACTGTGACCTCCTGGTTCATAGGTCCACGCTCAGCCACTGAGCCATGCCCGCCAGGCAGGTTCCTCTTCTTGATCACAGGGCCAGAGGAGCTGGCGGCAACGGGATGAAAGGCGAGGGTGGGCGTGAGCACGACACAATGAAAGCAAAACCAGATCACACTCCGCCCGGTGACAGGCTCCAGGTCTCAGGAGCTGCTGCGGGCCGTGTGTGACCGCAGGGTCCCGGGAGACAGCTTGGGCGGTCTGCTGCCCAGCTCTGTGGACCAGGGCAGGACCGTGTGTGGCTGAGAATGTCTGCAAGTTCAGGTGTCCCCTCTCACTGTGGTTGTAGTTTTTTCATGGAGGCTGAACAGCTGGGGGCGGGGTGAGGAAGGTGGGGGAGACGTGGAATCCATCCTCATGCTCTGGCCAAACACAGGAAAACGGGCCCCTCTGACTCAGGCATCATAGTTTCGAATTTTCAGACCAACAGCCTCAAATATCTTGAGCTAGGCGATGCTGCAAACAATGCAATTGCCAGTTGGCCCCGGAGCCCGGCAGTCCTGAGCGGCTGTGTGGCTCCACCGGACACCTCCTGCGTGCCGCCACCTCGGCCCGAGTCTCACCCACCAGCTTCTTGTGTCGCACGCTGTCCCCCAGGCTGAGCCCCAAGAGGCTCTCCATGCCCGTTCCCACCAGCGAGGCTCTTGCTCCGTGGACTCCTGCCAGGGGTAGGTGTCCTTCAAACGGCCTCTCATCCTTCTTCGGTTGCGCCCGGCCCTGACATCTAGTGGGTGGAGGCCAGGGAGCTGCTAACCTTCTGCAAGCTCTGCACAGGCCCACAGCGGGCATTCGCAGGCCCGGAGTGTCGATAGTGCTAAGCGGTCCTGCTCCCCTGTGAACCGAGCTGAGATGCTTTGTCTTAAAAAAATTTAGAGACGCTCTTGACCTAGGATGGGCATTAGCCTTTTATCTGTGTTTTGCAAGTATTTTCCCGAAATCTGCCCTCTGTTAGCGTGGTTTCTCTTTGCCACACAGGCAATAATGGATGTAGACAAATGCGCCTTTCACTTTGATGACAGCCTCTGGGTTTCCTGTCGTAGTTGAGGGCTCCCTGCCCTTGTTTGGTGCATATGGTTTCGTGTTTCTGCTTCTCTTGAGGTTTTCATTAGGCCTTATCGTCGGGAATTGATTTTTGTGGACAGTGGGGGGAGGGTCCAAGTATATTTTCCACACGGAGAGGCAGTTGCGGCTTCAGCATATCTTAAATGGACTATCCCTTCCCACCGAATGAAAACCCGCCTCTGTCCTATCTTACTTTGCACACGCACACGCCTCCGGCTCCCTCTTCCTTTCCGATGATTCTTGTCAATCTAGTTCAGTTCAGTTCCATCGCATCTTGATTACATGACTTTGTGGTATGTGTGCCAAAGGTCACTTGTCACCTCTATTCTTTTTTTTCTCCCTTAAATAACTTTTTGGTCCACTTCAGACATTTATTCTTCCTTGTTACTCACTCTTAGTTCCCAAAATAAGGAAAGGAAAGCCTCTCTGTCCGTCCGTCCATCCGTCCATCCGTCCCCACTGGGCCGCGTTGCCGCCGACTGGGATTGTTATTAGACAGTCACTGCTTGTGGGGGCCCCCTCCTGCCAGCCTCGCGCTGTGCCCTGCCCCCAGCAGTGCCTGTTTGATGTTGGCTGAATGAATGAACGAGTAGATGATACACATTCTTCTTTTTCTTTTTTTCTTTTTTAAATATATTTTATTGATTTTTTACAGAGAGGAAGGGAGAGGGATAGAGAGTTAGAAACATCGATGAGAGAGAAACATCGATCAGCTGCCTCCTGCACACCCCCTACTGGGGATGTGCCCACAACCAAGGCACATGCCCTTGACCGGAATCGAACCTGGGACCCTTCAGTCCGCAGGCCGACGCTCTATCCGCTGAGCCAAACCAGTCAGGGCCTTCTTTTTCTTTTTTAACATGAAAACTTTTATCTCTTCTGTTGTTTTGGGAGCAGGCAGTCAGAGGCTGGCTCCGTCCTTGT